TTTCCCCTTTCCCAGTTGAACTTGCCTTTTAAGAACTCCACACTTCCTGTGTGTGAGTTGGGCTGGTAAACACCTTTGTTTTGACCCACAGCCCATCATAAGTGTGCGCTGAGGCACACATGTACACTTTCTTGCCCTCCTGATGGTTCAACAGGACATCAGGGGGCTGGGTGGTCACTGAGTCCCATGACCATGTTAGACAAAGCTACCGAGGACGTGTCCAGCTTCCCTGAGCTGTCGTAGTAAATGTTGTGTTTGCTCTGAGTTCATTAGCTGTTCCACCTCTTCTCGTTTGATTTGGTTGAGATTGCACTGTTAGGGTGTTCATACTGGATCTGTCTTCCTCTGCTCATCTGTGTTTCTGCCCTCAGGTCCTCATTCCTGCCATCCACATCCATCTGACCAGTGCAAAAAACTGCTGCTCCAACCGCTGTGGGGTGAGTGTGTGTCCCACAGATTCAGGTCATTTTACTCTGCTTCATAAGAATCAACTCCAGTTCAGAGCATGTCTCGGTCACGGAGAGAATTTGAAGGTGAATTTGAAGCAGCCTTGGCAGGGGCAATAGCTGACCACACCTCAGACCACCGGTCATCTGAGACATTCTGCTTAAAGTCGGCTCTCATCATGACCTGCTATGCTAATAAAAGTGATCCTTACATGACTGGGAGCGTTTTAGACAGCCCTCTTTCCCTCTCTGGGGGGTCTAATCCTCTCTGTGACTGTGCCCCTGCAGATGTTCCTGTCTATTGGCTTCGCAGCTCTTGGAGTGGTGGGGGCCTTGTACAGTTTGACTGTTGCTGGCGTTGGTCTTGCTAATGGCCCCACATGCTTCTGGAGAAATGCTGATTCTCCAATGGGCATGTGGGGAGCACCCTTTGCCAACAGGTACATTTTCTACATCAAACATTTTTCTAAGAACGCGTCCTAACCTCTGCACACCACATCATTTTCCTCTTCAGACCTGATAACGCTTCCTGTGTTTGTCTTTTCCAGTACTGGCAGCTACCTGGGCGACAAAGAGATGTGGAAATGGTGTGAAATTCCAGAGAATGTAGTGGAGTTCAACGTGGCGCTCTTCTCCACTCTGCTGGTGGCGGCCTGCGTACAGGTCGTGCTCTGCATGATCCAGATGGTTAACGGACTGTTTGGCTGTCTCTGTGGCACCTGCTCCAGCAAGGAGGTGAGAAGAGAGTAGAGAAAAGCTGGTGTCAGCTCACTGAGCCGGCACACTGTCTGCCCCATGTCAGCCTCTGGGGGAGCCCCTCTGCTGACCAGTGAGTGGCCAGGGCCAGGCATAAATGCTTAAGAAACAGTATGAGTATGAGTTCAGAAAGAAATATGACCCAAGTTTAAAGACAGCTTGCTGCTGTCAGTGTGCTTGTTTTTGGAAAAAGCACAAATCTTTCTCCCTTTCATGATGACTTGCTGACCAGCAGGAATGGATTTGTCTGTCTTTGCTCCTCTTTAAATGCACACATATGGCCCCATTTTTCAAGAATTCAAGTCTGTTTTTTTAATGAAGCAGCAAATCCATGAATGTCTCCAGGCACTTTAAAAATACGTAAACTGAATCAAATTATTCTAGCACAATCATAACCTAATCTGATCCGTGAATTCCGTAATTCATAAAGGTTTTCTGTTCTGGACCTGATCCTGATGGATTATTCAGTTGGCTTTTGTGACCTCAGGAGATTTTGCTGCACGTAGCTTATTGTTCCATTAACACATTTTTACAGCGTGGTTGTTGTTTCCATACTGCATCTCGCTACAAGAATCTGTGAAACAGGAACCTTCAAACTCAGCTCAAAAGTTCTTTACTTAGATAACACCTTCCAATATTTTGGTTTGTTTGAAGGCAAGATGTAGCAAAGAAAAGGCTGTGATTACAATCCCATAAGAAGGCCTCCCAGGTCTGATCCCCTCAGACCTGTTGCCAGACTCTGGGCCGCGGGGGTATTCTCCGTCAGCTGGACATTGGTATTCCCACACACACCATCTGTGTGCCAGACCTCAGTGGCTTAAAGTCTTTGGCATGAAGTGAGCTCCGTTGGATTTTAAATGCAACACACACTGAGCTCAGATGATGGAGTAGAGCTCAGTCATCGTATACTGAGCTGCTGCGCCCCCCCATATCACACACACACACACACACACACGCACGCACACACACATACACACGCACACACACGCACACACACACACGCACACACACACACACACACACACACACACGC